AAACTATCAATAGGAAAATCTGCAAAACAACAACCAATCCTCCAAGCCATTATTTCAATTTAGGGAAACAAAAATCACTTTGCACCTGTTTCTGATCAAACACGTTTAAGCAGTTCCTTGATTAGTTACAGGTCAGTGCTTTTCAAACTTGGATTTGCAAACAGATCACGTGGGGGATCTGCTAAAATGCAGACTGTGCTTCCGTAGGTCTGGGCTGGGCTTGAGATGCTGCCTCTTGAGCAAGCTCCCAGGTGCTGATGCTGGTGCAGGGGCCACACCTTGAGGCCCGAGGTGTAGACCCAGCCCTGCTCCTCGCTCCCAGGGCAGCATGCTTCATTGATGCCCTCTTGTCATACCCACCTTCTCCCTCAGCCTCCACTTCCAGCAGTTCTCCTTTTTGGGGGGTTATCAGGCCTTTACCACTTAACCAAGCAGTCCCATAGTTAAGTTCTTTGACTAGGGGAAAAAAAAAACTTGCTGGATGCCTAAGTGTCTTTCTTTTTTTCAGTAATGAAAAATGCTCTGATTGGGGTGCCTGAGTGGCTTAGTCGGTTAAGTGTCTGCCTTCGGCTCAGGTCATGATCCCAGGGTCCTGGGATCGAGCCGCACAGGGCTCCTTGCTCAGCGGGGAGTCAGCTTCTCCCTCTCCCTCTGCCTGTCCCTCTGCTTGTGCACTTTCTTTCTCCATGTGTGTCAAATAAATAAATTAAATCTTTTTTTTTTTAAATGCTCTGATTGTGTATTGGGTTGCTTCGGGAATGGACCTCAACATTCTGAACTTCTGTGGCTTGAATGACCGGAACAATGGTTTCAGGGAGTCTAAAGAAAGCAGCTGGACTGTGCCAGGGTCAGACACGTGCTCTGCCCTGCAGGAGATGGCATAGCAAGATGTAGATGTCAGCTAATACCTGTGCCCTGCCCTGGGTGTGACTCTGGACTTTGGCAAAATAGTTTAAGGCAAGTGTTGTTAAGCATTCACTTTTTTTTTTTTAAGATTTGACTTATTTATATGACAGAGAGAGACACAGCGAGAGAGGGAACACAAGCAGGGGGAGTGGGAGAGGGAGAAGCAGGCTTCCCCGTGGAGCAGGGAGCCCGATGCGGGGCTCGATCCCAGGACCCCGGGATCATGACCTGAGCCAAAGGCAGACACTTAACGACTGAGCCAACCAGGCACCCCAAGCATTCACTTTCATAATGTTTTGAGGGATGGGGAAGGTATTACAAAAGATTCCTCCCTCTGCAACTAAGCATTATAAGTCTCAAATACCCATAATGCAGCCTTGATTAATATTAAGATGAGACTGAAGACCACAAGCTTCTGTAGTAGAACTTTAAGAGGACCCAGGTGCTTTTCAGAAGGCAGAGTGCCAAGTCAACAAATTGCTCTTATTACATAGATAAGGCAGGTGGAATAGTGATACGTGAGCTGTCATTTATTTCAGGTCAAGTCTATTTATTTTGTACCTTGTCATCATAAAATTGAGATTCTATCCAAGATTTTACTAAGTAAGCAAATAATAATGAAAGATTTATTTTAATACCTCCAAGGACTATTGACTTTTTGAGACGATGACTATTTGTTGTAGGAAACTATATTCGTTAAAATGTTTGCTGTAGAAAACTGTTTATAAATTCTCTCTGTTATAGAAGATTGATTTATGCACCAACCTTGGGGTGACGATCACCTCCCTGATCTGGTTCTGATTAATTAACCCAGTTTAAACAGCTCTGCAAACTGCCTCAGAAACAGGAATGTCGCTAAAAGCATTCGGTGTAAAAAGGTTATTATTCAAGTATAATAAATGAATAATGCTAACAATTAATTTTAAAACACAAATTGGAATCTCGTTTTGTTTTGTTTTTTTATGACACCAGCCTTCAACTCCTGAAGAAGTCTTGCTGACTCTGTATCTTTAATGCTCAGTATCTGTTATTACTTTGTAGCAGAGTACCATGAAACTTGGCAGCTTGAAAGAGCTATCTCACAGTTTCTGTATGGATCTGAGGGCTGCCTGGCAGGATCCTTTGGCTGCAGGGTCTCCCACAGGGTTCAGGCACCGTGTCAGCTGGGGCTGTGGTCTCATCTGACCGCCCCACTAAGGGAGAGTCCTTTTCCAAGTCTGCTCACGTCGTTGTTGGCAGGATTCCGCTCCTTGTGGGTTGTTGCCTGGAGTGTCTCCGCTCTTCACAGGCTGTTTCCTCTGTTCCTTACCATGTTGGCCTCTCCAGTAGGTGAGTCACAGCATGGCAGCCTTTTACCTCCAGAGGAAGGGCTCTGAGAGAGAGCGAGCGAGATGAAAGTCATGGTCTTTTTCTAGCCTGATCTCTCTCTCCTCGCTCTCTTTTTAACCATTTTATCGAGGCATTATTGACATGTAAAAAGCTGTATATATTTAATGTGTACAATCCCATGAGTTTGGGGATAAGTAAACACCTGTGAAACCATCACTACCATCAAGGTCGTAAACATACGTACCATCTTTTCCGAAAGTTTCCTGCAACCTCTTTGTTATTATATTATTATTATTTATGTGTGCAGTAAGAGCAGTTAACATAGATTCTACCTTCTTAGCAAATTTCACGTATACAGTACAGTATTGTTAGCTGTGGACGTTATGCTGCAAGTAAGTCTCCAGAACTTCTCTGTCTTGTAGAACTAAAACTTTGTACCCTTTGACCATCACCTCTCCCATTTCCCCCTCCTTGCAGCCCCTGGAAACCACCATTCTACTCTCTGGTTCTATGAGTTTGACTATTTTAGAACCCACGTGGAAGTGAGATCAGGTAGTATTTGTCTTTCTGTGGGCTGGCTTATATCACTTAGCAGAGTGCCCTCTAGGTCCATCCATGTTATTTCAAATGGCAGGGTTTCCTTCTTTTTAAGACTGAATACTATTACATCGTACATATATACCACATTTTTATTTATGCATCCATCGAGGTACAATTAGATTGTTTCCATATCATGGTGTAGCCTAATCCCTGAAGGGACATCCCATCGATGTATTCTGCTTATGAGAACAAAGTCTCTAGGTGCAGGCCACACTCAAGGGGAGGGGATTGCACAAGGACGTGAATATCACAATGCAGGGATCTTTGGGACCTTCTTGGAGTCTTTCTGCCACATGTAGTAAGGGCTCCATAAATATGAGTTCACATCCATCATCACGCTCGATCCCCGTACTTAGCAACAAGACGCATACTCCAGGGTTTTATGCACTCCTTGTTCAGATTGAGTTCAAGTTGGTTGTGATTTGATTAAGCAGCTAACAGTCTGAGCGGTGGGTCCAGAACTGGTGGATTAACTTGCATATGCAATTTGTTCTATACAGTACGTGCAGGTAGTTCGCATGCTTGAATTTTTAGCTTCTGAAAAAGGAATTGAGAAGGAAGGGAGGCCTAAAGTCAGAGATCCACTCTAAGATGACAGTAAGCAAGGCACGGTGGGTGGGAGGGTGGCGAAGAAACTTAGAAAGGTTAGACTGGCTGCTTGCCGGTGAGACCTCAGTGTAGATGACATGCTTCAGAAAGAGGCCATCTCTGTGCATCCAGTTGAAATTAGCCATCAGTTCTGCCTTCCCGCTCCTAGACCTGGTGCCCCGGCACCATTCCCTGCTCATTTCCTTGTTCACAGTCTGTCTCCCCCAGGAGGACTAAGGCCCAGGAGAGCAGGGGCCTCCTCTGTCTAGGTCCAGCCATGTATCATCAGCACCACGTATGGCCAACAGTAGGCTCTCAGTAAATACTTACAGAATCAATGAATGAATTGAGCACACAGATGTGAAATGACTCCAAGGAGCTTTTTGGAAATCGTAATATCTTCATGACTTCCAAAGGAAATGCCACTTATTCAGTTAACATGCAAAATATACTAATTTGTTAAAAAGAAGAAAACAGCCTCACAATTGTGGGGTAGTTTTGTCCCTGCCACTGATGGCTGGTGGCCATTAAGCTAGTCACGTCCCCTCTCTGGGCCTCCGTTTTCTCAGTGGATAAGTGCAGGGGCTATAGATTGGGGGTCTCAGGCAGAGGAGGCTCTGTTTTTCAACATTGGTCTACCATATAAGATTTTGTTTGAAGAAAGGATGCTGTCACCAGGGGCGGGGGGTGAGGTTTGACACCCACAGGGCTTCCATGCCCACCAATGGCCATTCCAGCTCTGCAAAAGCAGTTACTGGTTGCAGTCCTTTTGGCTAACAAGGGTAGAGACCTGTGGCCCGCAGAGCTTAGGTTCAGCAGAACCAATAGGAAGGGCAAACCTAATAATTTTGGTGCAAGTGATCTAGCGCCCTTTCCAAGAACATAAAGAATCCCCTCTCCCTTCCTCCCCCCGCCCCCACTTCCCCCCACTCCCTAGCCTCACACCTCGCTTAAGCCCACATCATGCAGCCTTTGAAATGTTAGCATCGAGTTTTTTTTTTCCTCGTTGACTAACTCATTTCAAGATTTCATTTCTGGCACTGCATTTCCTACCAGATAGCCAGAGCTTCCAAGCTCCAAGTTTTATAATTAAAATTCTGTCACATCCCCCGAAACAGTGCAAATTGTGCCATTAAGCCTGGCATAAAAGATTCGAAAGCATTTCACCTAGTAATTTAAATATAATACTTCTGGCAGCTTTCAGTTTCTGGTATTTTTAATTCTAATTTAAAAACTATTATTAAACATTAATATCCTCTATACAGCATTGCTGGTTGCCTCAGCGCTCCATTTTGGCCGGCTAGTTTTAAACAAACAGCTTGGCTGCCTGGCTTTTGCGGTCCACGTGGTCTTTCCTAGCCTTTGGGAATCACCAGGTCCCAGGCATAATTAGTATAAATCAAAATCCTCTAGACTATGACAGGAAAATGGTATGTTTGAACAGCAGCTTATTAAAATGACCTACTTAATTTAAGAAAAATATTGTATCCACTTGCACGATAACCTGGATGCTTTCCCTGACAGATTTTATAATATTTCTTCCCTCTCCTTTTTTTTTCCTCTTTTGTTTTTACAAGAAAAGGAAAGGGAATGGAAAGGCCCGTTCTACTTCATCCAAGGTGCAGACCCACAGTTTGGACTAATGAAGGCCTGGTCCACTGGGGACAGTGACAGTGGTGGTGACGAGTGGGGGCAGGAGATCCGTCTAACTGAGCAAGCTGTTGAGGCCATCAACAAGTTGAAGCCCAAACCCAGGTTCTTTGTTCTTTGCGGGGACCTCATCCATGCCATGCCAGGTAAGACTTGCGCTGTTGATGTGACCTCTCTCCTCTCAGTCATGACTGCATTTGAGCAGGGAAAAAAAAAAATTTCTCTCAAGAGATGTCTTTATTCGGTAATGGCCTCTTCCTTCTCTCCATGGCTGTTGGAGTATCCTTGAATGTCAGGAAATTCACCCTCATTTTATATTTAGAATTTGGCGAGATTAATCACAGTAATTAGGCAGAGCTACAGTTCTGTTGATCTGAACTTACTCTGAAAAATGGAACAGACTCCCACATGTCACCTTTATTTCCAGGGGACAAACTTGAACTGCTTCCAGATACCATATCCGTAAGTGTAATCTTCTCTTATTTCCTCTCTTCTTACACTTTAATTTCTCCTGTCTTTGTGCTTTTTCATTTGCAAGTGACAGAAATCTAACTTAAACTGAATTTTTGTTTTAAATTAAAAGTGCATGTTCCTTTATGGGACTGTAACATCCAGGGGCAAATCTGGGCTTCAGGTATGGCTGGATCCAGAGGCTCAGAGGTTGTTATCAGGACTTGGTCTCTCACTCAGCCCTGCTTTCCTCTGGGTTGACTCCATTCTTACACAGGCATTCCCTCTAGGTCGTGGCTCCTGGGAGCTCCAGCTTTACATCCTTCTCACAGAACCCACAACAGAAAGAAAGAGCCTTATTCTTGGTGGTCCATTCAAAGCCCCAGACTGACAGCTGTCCGGCTCACATGGCCCCTTGAAGCCAGGGTGTGGGGTCATCTCTACTGCAGCAATGTGGTCTGAAGAGCAGAATGATTCCCCTCAAGACAAGAGAGATAGAATGTAAAAATAAGAGATGCCTTCTAGAACTCTCTTGCATTTTTGTTTCCTCCTCTGATACCTTCTCCCCCAGGCAAGAGTAAAGCCCAGTGAGCAAGTATAAGCAGATGGAACTGCGCCTGCCCATCAGAGAGGTAGAGTAGACCGCCATGGCCACCCTTAGTGGAACAGCGGTCTCTGCCTTTGGAGCAGCAGTGGGCCTGAAGACCATTGCAGGAAACACCGTGGTGGCCATGCATGTTTGCTTTGGCTAATACTGTCTTGTAAACCTGCGCTCTAAGTCTTGTGATTTCCAGGGCCTTTAGAAGCTGAGGCACTCTGTGGTAAGCTGGGGTGCATTCATTCTTCCCCCCTCAAGGTTCACTTGTCTGGCAGCCTACCTCTCCAGAAGAATCCCAAAATGAAGATGTGAGAACGGGAAAGGGGCTGCCCAAAATCACTGTCCCCAAGGTCCAGTGAGTATCATGAGCAAGAGGAGCCCTCAGGCCTGCCCTCGTTCTCTGTTTATAGGTATTTAATGCAAAGTCATGGATGTGGACATGCCCATGTCATTCATTGGGTCCCACTGGGGAGAACCCAGGGTGGTCATCCCCGGAGAACCTGTCCTGCTGTTGGGCTTGTGCAAAAGCGGCAAGGTGGGGAAGAAGGAAAATAAGGCAGTGGACAGAGACCCAGCTCCACACCCGCCACTGATCACACCCGCCACTGATGTGCTGGGTAAACTTGGACCGACCCCTTTCCTTCTCAGAGCCTCCATTTCTGAACCAAGAGCCCATTTATGCAGTAAGCATTCAAAACCTCAATGGCCTGGGGCTTCACAATGAAGGGTCAGACAACTCCGTCTCTCTGTGCAGGTGGTGGACGTCTCAGCAGCTTGGTACAGAAGCACATTCACAGGATGGTGCTGAGTTTTGTTTTGTAGAGAGGTAAAATCTTAGCTGCTGGTGGACTGGGCCATCCTTGGTGACCCTCGACCGAGGGTTTCCTGGTGCTGATATTGTACATTGCTAAAGTGACCACAGAGTGCCCTAGTTTCTAAAGGAGTTAGAAATCATAGCAGGACTCAGAGTCTTGGTTTACCAGGTAAAGCCAAGGTAATACCATAGTTGACCAGATTAATACTGCTTCCAAATGGTCTGATTTGCTGTTAGCTAGGTTCTTTGGAATCATTTGGCCCAATATGCACTGTAGCATTAGCTAGATCTCTCACTCTGGACCATCCAGTAAGCAAACTTCTGCTTTTATTGGACACTTGAAGGTCAGATTCTGATTTTACAATTTTTATGTCCTGTGGCTTCTTTTCTTTGAAAACAGAAATGTAGGGGCACCTGGGTGGCTCAGTCGGTTAAGCGTCTGCCTTCGGCTCAGGTCATGATCCCGGGGTCCTGGGATCGAGCCCCTCACCGGGCTCCCTGCTCAGGGGGGAGCCTGCTTCTCCCTCTTCCACTTCCCCTGCTTGTCCACTCTCTCTCTCTCTGCCAAATAAATAGATAAAATCTTAAAAAAAAAAAGAAAAAAGAAAGAAATGTTATAGGACTCACTAAAATTATATAACATGTTTTTGTAGATGTTTACTGACTCATTCTGAATTATGTTAATGTATTCAGTCATATTTCAAAATAAGATTTAAAATGAAAGCTCTCTATGCAGTCTCATTGCTTCCTGAATAAAATATACTGAGCATAGTAAATTAAAAGATACGGTTTTTATGATCCACTTTTTCCATTGGGCAGAAGACCTTATAAATGTGAACTGGCAATCTTTTGAGCACGTAATTTTATATTCAGTGTGACCGGAGCAGAATTCACATCTGTTCTGAAGAGTTGGACTATTTTGTGGGGTTGTAACTGAGCCAGTGGAAGGACTGTAACTATTTTGAATATTGTGGTCTCAGATTAAACAGAATGTTTTAAAGCTAGTTACCATTTTTTAATATGCAATTAGTGGCTTCCTCCTTATTTAGCTCATACACAGGGGCAGACACTAGAAAAGTAATTATTTGCTTAGACTGCTTAGCACATTGTTAATTATCAGATGCATGTATTAATAAGCAAATAAAATCACAAAGCATACTTTTAATTCTTCCATAAATAATATCCTGGGCCAAGTAGTTTTTTTTTTAAAGATTTTACTTATTTATTTGACAGAGAGAGAGAGATAGCGAGAGCAGGAACACAAGCAGGGGGAGTGGGTGAGGGAGAAGCAGGCTCCCCGCCGAGCAGGGAGCCTGATGCAGGACTCAATCCCAGGACCCCGGGATCATGACCTGAGCCGAAGGCAGATGCTTAACGACTGAGCCACCCAGGCGCCCCGTGGGCCAAGTAGTTTTAAGTTCAAACTGGAGAAAAAAGAACTTTATGAATAATGCTCTTTCTAATGAAAGTCATAATGGCACTTTCCCATTATACATATTCATCACAATATTTGTTCATCTACAAATACTTACTGTGTGCCCACTGAGTGCCAGTTAAAGCCCTAGGTGCTGTGGATATGATGGTTGGAAATGAAAGGGTGGCTCTTCCGTGGAGCTTAGAGCCAGGTAAGGGAAGTGTGAAACCAGGGATGGTGAGGGGCCCTCCTGGTACCACGGCCTTCAGGGAAAGCTCCAGAAATGCAGGACAAAGTCTAGTTAGTTTTGAATCACATGTTTTCATTCTGCAGATGTCTTTTTGGTTACCTTAGTTTTTTTCTTATTTTATAAAGCTTCTCTATGGGCTAAGCCACATTATAAATAGCAAGTGGAGATTTGTACAAATATTGAGACCATTGATTTTCAGTCCTTCAGGCTGAGGCCCAGGGTGACTGTTGGGTCACCCTGACGTGGAGGCATTGACCCACTGGTACGGTCCCCGGGAACCTTCTGAGTTTCCAGCAGGTCACGTGAGGACTTGACAGATAAGAATGTGGTGATGTAGTTCGAGTACAAGAGTTCCTTTCAGGCCGTAGCATGGTTCGTTATTAATGTGCATGTCTGGCCCATTGATTAAAAATTGCCACAGCCAAACAAAACAGAGCGTGCAGAACACATTCTTCCCTAGAGATAAAGGCTCCTTTGAAGAGCCTTTGTTTGTTGACCTCCGCTTGGGCAGCGGTTACATGATTTCATTGTCGTTCATGATTCAGCTCCGGAAGTCCTCCGTTACGTGAAGCGAGGCAAGCCCGCGTTAGCATTATTCCAGTGGCTGGTGTATGAGCATCTCATGGCTGCTGTAACAAACACTACAAACCTCATGGCTTCAAACAAACACAGATTTACTCTCCTATGGTCCTGGAGGTCAGAAGTCTAGAGTGGGTGTGCAGGCTTGCCCTCTTCCTAGAAGGTCCAGCTTCTAGATGCTGCCCACGTTTCTTGGGCCATGGCCTCTTCCTCCCATCTTCAAAGCCAACAGCACAGCATCTTCTCTCTCATCTTTGATTCATCTTCTCATATTCTCTCTCGTGAACCTACCCTCCTGCTTCTTTCTTATGAACACCCTTATGATTATTGGCCCACGCAGATAACCCAGGTTAACCTCTCCATCTCAAGATCTTTAACTTTATCACATTTGCAAACTCCCCTTTTACCATGTAAGATAACACGTTCACAGATTTGGGGTGAGGACATCTCTGGGGGCCATTTTCAGCCTACCGTGCAGATGGCATGGGATGCAGTTCAGGGTGTGCATCTCTCTGGTGCTGCTAGCTCACCTACTCACTAGAGTCATGAAAAGAGGGTGTCCTTGTTATTTCCCTTTTAACCGATGGTGGAATCTGGCTCAGAGCAGTTCAGTACTTTTCTGGGGGTCACTCGGCTTGTAAGTGGTGGAGTCAGGATCTCACTCGGGTCCAGCTGTTTTCAAACCTCACATACTTCAGAGTGCGGCCTCCCTACTCAAAGGGTGGCCCCCAGAGCAGCCATCAAGAGCCTGTTCCACATGTAGAATTTCCGCCACACCCAGATCTGATGAGACGGAATCAGCATTTTAATGAGATCCCCAGGTGAACTTATGGACAATCAAGTTTGAGAAGCACTTGCTAGACAAAAATGTACCAGGCCCTGTGTTTTTTGTATTAGGTACAATTTTTGTGTGTACACTAGTAGTTTGTGGACATTCCCTTCAACTGTTAACGATAATGGTGCTTAACAAGGGAACTGTTATTACTTTAGATTTACCATGCTCAGCTCTGGAAGGGAAATGTTTTAAGTTTGTGGCTTTTA